CTTTCTTGTGCCTTTCCACCACGACCCCCAGATGGGATTCAGTCGCTAAATTAACTGTGCTGTCTTTCTGCTTTTGTTTGGGCGGCAGAATGCTGGCCGTGTTCAATCAGCCGGGCTCTGGAGTGCGACATCTGGATTGATGTGGCTTTTCATTATGGCATCTCCAGGTGTCAGTCCAGCATTCACAGTGTTGCCACGGAAATAGCGAAATGCTCTTCAGTCCAAACACGACCCAATAATAGCCAGGTGTAATAGAATGTTTCTCTGGCGCTAATTGTCTCTTGCTGTCCTCTGGAGAAGCCATCAATACCCAGGTTTTTGGTGTTAGCTTTTGTTTTTGGTCAAACTATCCCTGATTTTTAGCAAGGATTTATGTTGCACTGGTTTAATAAAGCATAAACATTTAGATCACAGTGCTTTCTTAAAGGGCTGGTCCATCCAGAAACGCATTACATTTACATTTAGTCATTTTGCAGACACTTTTATCCAAAGCGACTTACAATTGGGGAATACATAAAGCGATTCTTCATAAAGAGGCAAACAGACACAGGAAGTGCTCGTAATACCAAGTTTCAGGCATTTGTTCAAAAAAGTACAAGCTAGAAAGGAAAGGAATAAATAAAAAGAAAGACAACTTTTTTTTCTTTCTTTAATTTAGGATGAAGTCAAGTAGCGTCGAAAGAGATGAGTTTTCAGCTGTCGCTTGAAAATTGTCAGGGATTCAGCATTCCGGATAGGGTTGGGAAGATCATTGCACCAGCCAGGAATGGTGAACGAGATTGTTCTGGAAAGTGATTTTGAGCCTCTCTGTGATGGAACCACAAGGCATCGCTCACTTGCGGATTTCAGACTTCTGGAGGGGATGTAGATTCTTAAGAGTGAGTGGAAGTAGGCGGGTGCTGAGCCTGTGGCTGTTCTATATGCATGCATCAATGTCTTGAACTTGATGCGAGCCACAACCAGTAGCCAGTGCAAGGAGATAAAAAAGAGGTGTAACATGGGCTCTTTTGGACTTGTTGAAGACCAGTCGTGCGACTGCATTCTGAATCATTTGTAGAGGTTTGATTGTGCTTGATGGAAGTCAGGATTCAAACCAGCGAAGTTGAATCACTGTGATGCCCAGTGATGAGAGGGCGGACAGGAGGATCTGATGATTGACACGGTCAAAATCAGCAGATAGATCCAGCAGAATAAGAACTGATGATGTGGAATCAGCTTTTGCAATCCGCGCGGCTTCCGTGACTGACAGTAGCGCAGTCTCAGTTGAATGGCCACTCCTGAAACCTGACTGGTTAGCGTCCAGTTTGTGAAAGAAACAATGATACCTAGTTGGCTTGGAGAAGGTGTGAGGGGATTGGGTCTAGAGGACATGTTGTAGGATGGCTGGCGAGGAGAAGTTTTGACTTCTGCCTCAGTGAGGGGACAGAAGTAGAAGATGGGAGTTTTAGCAGTGGGTGTGGTTGGTTTGAGGTTCTGTGTGTGTGGTGCTGAGAATTGACTACTGATTGTTCTAGTTTTGTCTGTGAAGAATGTGGCAAAATCATCAGCTGTTATTGAAGTGGTGGGAGGTGGTGGAGGGGGACAGAGGACATAATTAAATGTTTTGAAGAGGTTACGTGTGTCTGGAGCGCTGTTGATCTTATATGGAGATATGAAGATTTGGCAGTATGGACTTCAGCAGAGAAAGATGAAAGCAAAGACTGATACATACTCAGGTCTGAGGGACCTTTTGAGTTGCACCGATGAGTTTGGTCCGATGCTCACGAAGAACATGGGATAACCAGGGGTTAAAAGGGTCAGCCCATGCTGGCCTGGATGAGAGAGGACATTGTTTAGACAAGAGGTTAAAGTAGACCATAAAGTGTCAGTTGCTGCATTCACATCCAGAGATGAAAAATGGGTAGGTGAGGGAAGAGAGGAGGATACTACAGAGGAAAGATGGGAGGGTGAAAGGGAGCGTAGGTTTCGTCTAAAAGTAAACGGTATAGGGGTTGGTGGCACACAGGTAGCAAAATGTAGAAATGGTCAGAGATATGTAGGGGTTCTACCAAAATGTTGTCTGCAATACAATTGCGTGTGTAAATTAAGTCAAGTTGGTTGCCTGATTTGTGCGTACTTGTAGTGGTAAGGCATTTAAGATCAAATAGAAATGAGCAGACCAGTGCCCCCACCCCGGCCAACCTGAAGGGGGGTATGAGAGAAAGAGAAATTGTTAGATAGAGCAGCTGGGGTTGCTGAGTCTTTTGGACGAATCCAGGTCTCAGTCAAGCCAAAGATGCTGAGTGTGGATTGTAAAAAAAAAGCAGAAATGAAGTCTGCTTTGTTGACAGCTGACTGACAATTCCAGAGACCCACAGTGATAGAAAGAGGTGCAGTAGAAGATGTAGCGATAGGATGCAGGTTAGCAAGATTGCTTTGCCGTCTGCGTGTGACGTTAGAGCGTTGTCGAGAGACAACCGGAATGTGTTGGAAACACATGATAGAGGTGGAAAAGAGAGGACAGAAAAGGAGAGTGTGTACAGGGAAGATAAAAATTATACTTAAGTGCCATGGCGGTTTCCTTGCTCAGTGAAGTGAAAAGGAGAGTGTGTAAAGGGAAGATAAAAATAATACTTAGGTGCGTTGCCGGTTTCTTTGCTCAGTGAAGTCGTGCAGGTAAAGTCGCAGGTTTTTTTCCGAAAAACGAGAATTCAGCTTAAATTTTTGTTTTTCGTTCAGGGGTAGAAAAATGTATAAACGGCTTGAATATTCGATTTCTACACTTGGGCGGGAATTAAATGCCTCTTTCTGCTGATTGGTCAGCCGAAGATCAAACCGTGCCGTCATCAGTTCTTCCCGAGTATCACGCTGCAGAATAATAGTCATCCACTGCTGCAGTTGTACAGATTCATAACGCATTTATTGCAACTACATTTCCTGTAGAAATGTATATTCGAATATGAAATCGAATATTCAAGCTGTTTATCAATTTTTCTACCCCTGAACGAAAAACTAAAATTTAAGCTGAATTCTAGTTTTTCGTGGGGCGGGGGGAAGAACAAGGAGCAGTTTTTTTTTGTTTTTTTCATCTTTATACTTTCAATATTATATTAAAAAGACAAATGAACAAATGATATGAATTAATTATTTCTTTAAATTAACACGTTTCTCTAGTCCTTCTGTGTATTATTTAAATTCAGAATTTTTATCCAGGCCACTTGGTGAAAGCAAATGCTGATTTATTTCTCCACTAAATCCAAACCTGTAATCATTGTGAAGTTATAAGAGATTAAAACTGTTCTTCAGTGCTCTTTTATTATGTGATGTGATTTATTCACGCATTCCAAAAGTGTTATTTGCCGCATTTCTCTCACCACCTTCTTATTGCCTGTTTTCTTTAAAATGTGGCCGTCTCCATGGTGATTGTTGCCATGAAGGGCTAAAATAAATCACTGATAATCACGCTGCAATCAGCAATGTTTGAATGAAAGGCATGAAATTCAAAGTGCATATTAACGGAGGTATAAGGGAGTGGACAGAAAGCAATAAGCAGGCTCAAAATAATGCATTTTTCTTTTCTTCCCTATGATCACACTTAAAAGCATTTACGCCCTTTCATGGGTGCACATAATTAACTTGTTAACTTAAAAAATAGGAGCATGTTGGTTGTGTTGCTCTTAAACAATTTCTTTTAAAATTGCAATATAGATTCTTGAATACTCCAGAGCTTTACATGACTTTGAAATGCACAACCAGTTAAATATATTTTAAAAGACTAACTGACCTTGACACACAGTCATGAGAGTCTGCAGAGGTCCTCTCTGATGTCATTTCCTGTTTTATTTGTTAGTTTGTGTTTGTGTGTGTGTGTGTGTGTGTGTGTGTGTGTGTGTGTGTGTGTGTGAGAGAGAGAGTTTTGTGTATGTGTTCTTGTTTTGTGTTCTTTGTTTTTATAGTGTTGTTTTGGTTTGTGTGTTGTGTTTTTTTTTCGTTGCTCTGTTGCATTTTTGTTGTTTTGCAGTGTTTGTTTATTGTTTTATTTTGGTATTGTTGTTTTGATGTGTTTTTTGTGTTTTTGTTTTATTTTTTTGTTTCAAGTTTTGTTTTGTTCTATTGTGTTTTTTGTATTGTGTTCTTGTGTCGTATTGTTGCTTTCTAGTGTGTTTTTGTTTTATTTAGTTGTTTCTTGTAGTTTTTTTGTTCTTGTGTTTTTGTTTCGGTTTGATTTTGTTTTTTGTTTTGTGTGTGCTGTTTTTTTGTTTTGTTTTGTATTGTTGTTTTGTGTTGTTTTTGTTATTTTTTTGTTGTATCGTGTTGATTTGTTTATTATTGTTTTGTTATATTGTATTTTTGTTGTGTATTTATTTATTTTTTTGTTCTTGTGTCATGTTTTGTGGTGTTTTGTTTTATTTTTGTTGTTTCATGTTGTGTTGGGGCTTTTTGTTCTTTGTGTTTTATGTTGCTGTGTTTTTGTTTGTTTGTTTGTTTGTTTGTGTGTGTGTGT